TAGCGTTTTACCATCTACATGATATTCTTGATATAAATCCAAAATTTCACAACAATCGGTCCAGTACTTTCGGAGATTATCTGTCTAATAAAAAGTGGAGACGGCAGACAGACGGACAGACAGACGGACAGACGGACAGACAGACGGACAGACGGACAGACAGACGGACAGACAGACGGAAACGGGAGACCTACTTCTTTGTCCTCTAGGGATCATGACAGGTCGAGAAAACGTAAAAGTAGAGAGTCGACCAACGGACTCGATTACAATACTTCCTTTGCTTACGCTCGGGAAGTAAAAAGAAAAAGAATGTATAGATTAGAGTCACCGATGAATAGATTATGCTTTTAGACATTTTTTCTTGTAATTTGTAATAAAGATGATACATAGACTTTACATGGATATTTTTTTATCCTTATCTCAAATACTTATTGTGTGAAATTGTTTTTTTTTATTTATTGTAAATATGCTCAATAATTTATGTTCAGAAGGTTTTATCAATTAGTGCAAGTTTAATGCAACTAAAAAATTTATGGGTGCCATACTTCTTGAATGATAAAAAAAAATCTTATAAATACGCAACACTGGCAACTCCTAATAATAATAATACAAGAATAAAAATGAATAAGGTGGATGATTACTTTTTTACTTCGCTTGTATAAGTTAAGGAAGTATTGCAATCGAGTACAACGAGCGACTGCCTACTTCTTTGTTTTCTGGAGGTTTCATAAATCCTAGAGTACGAAAACACTGGTCGTCCATTTCCGTCTGTCTGTCTGTCTATCTGCCGTTTGGCCGTTTTTTTTTATTAGACAGATAATCTTCGAAACTGCGGTCCCGGTTGCTGTCAAATTTTTAATGTGTATAATGAATATTGTGTAGATGGTAAAACGCTAACCATAATTTGGCTAATCATCCCCATCAATAATATGATGACGTCATCTCCAAAATTTACATTAGTAATTATTATTTAAATTTTATAAAATAGGATACTCCTGCACAATTGGTTTATGTGGTTTATGAATCCGTGTTGAGCTTTTACCATGGACATCCAGATTTTTGAAAAATAATAAAGCAAAGTTTTGTAACAACCTTTTATAATTTAATTTTGAAACTACAAAACCGAATGTTATGAAATCTTAAAAGGTATCCGTGTTGAGTTTTTACCCTAGACATCCAAATTTTTGGGAAATATGTAGTTCAAAATTGTATTTTACAATTTTAATTTGAAACTGCAAAACGCAGGGCTCTGAAATCTTGCAAATGTTTGAAGGTTGCACCAGGCATGACAAATCGTTAATCAAAATTTGTCCGTCATTTTACAATTTTGATGAAATCTTCTAATTTGTAACTGTTTTCGGGAAAAGAAACTGATTAATCACTTCTCTCCTCTGTGTTGTGGAGACACGAAGTAAAAACATAAACAGTTGATGTTAAGCATGTATTGAGAAATTGAGAATTTCAATCATTTTTTACAGTTGGTTATCTGCTTATTTAAATATATTTCATATTGTCCACACTTGTGTACCCTCTTGAATTGCGGCTTCGCGGCGTAGGGGCCACAGGGGAGTTATTTACGCCAAAGATGTTTACTTTACAGAGGTTAACACAAAATGAAAATCGCAATATTAAATTTTATATTTTTTTAAAGAAGCAGGATTTCTCGCACTGTCCTTCAAGAGAGAGGAAAATTCTGTCGAAATAATTTTCGACCATTTTTTTAAATAAATTAAACTGTTTTAAATAGCTTTCAGATGTTATTTTTAATTATTTCTAATAAAGTTGATTATATGGTGTGTACATTTGTTTTTTTTTTTAGAATTTATTCTAAATACATGCAGTAATTTATTTTTATAATATTTCGTCAATAGCAGAAGTTTCATGTACTCGAAAATCTGACGTGTGCCAAACTTCCTTGTTGTTGAGAAAAAAAAATTGTAAACACGGTATTCTGAAAACTCCCTAAAATATAAAAAATACTTTCTTTTTTCAAAAAAAACAAAATTAATAGAATGATGTGGATAATTACTAAATAGTATATTGTTTTATTAGGAGCTAAAATGAGACTTTTCGTGGCGAATCTGTAGGTTTGACGGCCGAGCGCGCGAGGCCGGCAATTACAGATGAGCCACGAAAAGTCATTTTTCTCCGAATAAAACATGCTATTTTTTCTTCAAACGTCTGCAATTCAATTAGAGAAGTAATTTAAAAAAATGGAATTACATATCAATTCTTTAAAACGAATGAATTAAGTTAACTGTTACTATGGTTTTTCAGTGTGCTTTGGAATGATTTGTATGCTGTTGCTATGGTTTTACTTTTGCTGCCGCCTGTAGCGGCAGCAAAAATTTTTATCTGTCGGTGGTGAGGAGCGGCTGAAATGTCATACTTTAAGTTCATTTGTTGAGGTACATAAAGTCATGTTTTTTTGACGTTTGAAGAAAAACAATATTTTTCGATGTTTAATGAAGTAAACTGATATATATAAATACACTTTGTAAATTGATCAAAGTATATTTCGACAGGATTTCCTTCAGCCCTAAAGTACAGTCGAACAAATCCAGCTTCGAAAAATTATCAAATTTAACTTCGAATTTTTTTTGATGACGTCATCAACATCTTAGCAAAGACATGTATATCATCAATTTTAGTAAATGCAGTGTATTACTATTAACAACTAATAAAACATGTCCCATCCATTAATTTTTTTAATAACTTTGTATAAGAAATTCAAAAAAACATGAATGCGTCGATAAACCACAAGTACCTACTTTTAGTAGTAGTGTGCACATTTTATATATATATCAACTTTTTACAAGATATTCGGCTTTTCAGTTTCAAGATTAAATACTTTGTTGCTATACAATTTTGATTTCTTTCCAAAAATGTGGATGTCGAAGGTGAAAACTCAACACGGATTCATACAGCACAAGTGCAGACGTATCTTATTTTATAAAATTAAAAACAAATTTACCATTGTAAATTTTGGAGATGACGTCACCCCATTGGTGGTGGGGCTTATTAACGAAATTTTGGTTAGCGTTTTATCATCTACATGATTGTCCTAATCCTAATATATATGTACAAAATTTGTCAACAATCGGTCCGGTAGTTTCAGAGATTATGTGTCTAAGATTAAAAATCGACACAGACAGACAGGCGGACAGACAGATAGACGAACAGACAGACTGAAACGGAAGACCACTTTTTTCGTACTTTAGGGGCCATAAAACGTCGAAAAAACACGAAAGTCGCAAGTCGCCCGATGGACTTGACCACTATACTTCCTCAGCTTACGCTTATGTAAAAATCAAATTTGTTTAACGACATGTTACAGTTTAATTTTGAAGTTTCAAAACCGAATGATATGAAACTCTGCAAAGGTTTTAAGGTTATCGGAAACACGTAGGTAAATCGTTAATAAAAATTTATGGGTTTACGATCCCCCTAAAAACTGATGACATCATTTTACAACTTTGCTGAATAAATGTTATTTAAATTCATCTTGTGTTATTGTGATCTTAAACATGCAAATTTTTGAAAAAAATCAAGACTGCGTAACAACATTTTGCAATTTAACTTTGAAATTGCAAAAAACTCATTTCAAAACATAGGCGTAGCACGCTTCTTTACATTTACTGTAACACCACATAATACATATGTTTATTTCAACTTATAAGGCTTCTCGTAAAAAAACTAAAATTTGCAGAATCAAATTTTACAATCTTTCAAAGAAGCTGGATATGTTGTACTTTAGGAGCCAGGAAAGTTCTGTCGAAATATCAAGTGATCAAGTGACCCCAAAATAATTAATCAGTGAAGTGTCATGTTTTATTCACATCCCATTTCCTTGAAAATCTGAGGGTAACAGTACTGTTACTAAAATAGTGTTATACTGCACCTATTCAAACTGACATACGTGTCTTTGCTAAAATGTTGCTGACGTCATCAAAAAAATTTTATATAGAAAAACTCATAAGAGACATATACACACTATTCTTCTTTACCTATACCTTAACAATCCACGCATGCTTATATTAATTTTAGCCCATAGGAGTGATGATAACAAAGTTCTCGAAGTCAAATTTGATCATTTTTGGAAGCTGTACTTGTTCGACTGTACTTAGTGACGACCAATTTTTTTAAGTAATTTTCAATGAAGTTGATAAAAACAGGCTCTACCCTTATAGTTTTGTAAACTTATCTTAATTGTATAAGTATACTAAATAGTACAATAATTTATATTTGCAACATTTCGTCGATTAGCAGAAGTTTTATTCACTTGACAAATCTAATGGTGCCAAACATCCTTATTGATGAGAAAAAATTCTGTAAATCTGGAAATCTAAAAACTCTAAAAATATGAAAAACATAATTTCATCTAAAAAACTGTCAGAATGAATGGAATGAAGCGGGTGATTATTTTCACCAGTAATTTTACAAAAAACAGAATGTATCTATTTTAGTATACTAAACTCATTGTCAACTAGTATGGGGATTATTGTAATTTAATATGTACTACATGTAAATACCGAGAACAGTTTCAAAACATCACCATTTAGAAAAAACTTTTACTACTATTTAAATTTACAAAAATATTGCGACAGCTAAATTTCCCAATTATATTATATGTTCTCATAAAAACGGAAGTTAAACAACACAAAAAAATGAATAGTTACCATATTGATATATAACTTGTTTTCAAAAATTATCAATTTTTATGAAAATAGTCGAAAACATAAAAATAGCCCAACTGATTCTCTGAAACCACTCTTTGTTCCCGTGCGGATGTTTTGGCTCCCGTGCGCGCTGCACGTGTTATTGTTATTGTTATTTAGAATCGGTTGCTCCACTGAAACTATCATTTTTACAAAGCGCGTCAAAGGTGATGTGTGCAGTGCATTCGCTGGGCTTCAGGGCGTCGCAGAAGCAGAACAGAACTTATGGAAAACAGATCAGCAGTTTGTCAGTTACCGTTGTTGCTTGTTAACAATTTTGGTGTATAGAAGGATAACGGAGGATATTTTATCCAAACTATCATTTTCTCCATGGAAAAGAAAAAGTAAGTTTTCAATTTTTTTTACATGCAATAGTTTTTATGTACCTAGAGCGTTATAATATACAATGTGTGTGTTATGATCTAGTAACGTTAGTGGTGCGTACAACATTTTATTTTTCACATTTTTTTCAAGAATTAAAATAAGTTTAGACCGCGTTTTGATATATTTTGAAATTACTAAGCCTAAACATAGCGTTCATACCTATGGTTTACATAGATAAAAACTACGGGTTGCTAAGAATTGTTTAATGTAAGATTCATTTGTTAGTTTTAAATTAAAACATGGAAATTCCCTCAAAGATCGTTAAAAAAGCCACAAAGGCAAAGAAGATTTAAATTAGCGGGCGTTAAAAAATCATAACTAATTTCTTGATAACGCCAAGGGCGTTATGAGCCTGTTGATAGCAGCTGTTACTAAGGTATTATAAGTTTATAATTGATAGGTGAAAAATAAAAAAATTCAGTTATTTGATTACTACTCCCTGAGACTACTGTTATGATAACAATTTGAAAATTTATCTGGTTCTCTTATGTCTGTTTTAGAAAAATACAAGTTAGTTCTGATTACTTTCAGTTAATCTTTGTTTTTAGTTCATATTTTATTTATTATACAGGATGTCATAGAAATAAGAGGAAAAAATCGATAATCGCGGGTTAGAAAATTTAACCATTTTCGAGATAACAGGGTCTTGAAGGAAGGACAACAATTTTTTAAACAACTTTTGAACGTGTCAGCGTAAGATTTGAAATTCCGTAAACTCGATTAATGTTTGAAGGGCTTTTTTTGAAGCTTAATGTATTTTTAAAAAGCTGCCAGTAACATTTATTTCCAAAAAAGATGGCGTATAAGTTTCGAGTAAAAAAAATAATTTATCCCTCAAAATCTACGCCACTGACTGCTTTTTCAAAATACATCAAGCTTAAAAAAATCCCTTCAAACTTTCAGACCACCAATTATAAATTTTTTCATCTTAAAATAAAGCTCTAAATCACTTCCCTAGAGTTGTCTCCTTATTTCTCTATTTTTGTAGGGGAAATAGGAAGAAAAACTGTTGCTTTTTTTGCCAGAATACATTTTTAAATATTGCCCGCCATCTGGAAAATCAACACGGTGACGAAGATGAAGTCATTAAATTTACGCCTCTTCCAAAAGGTTAGATTAGTTATGCCAAAACATAATATTAAGATTTTAAATTATTTATTAGGTTCTAAAGAAAGACGAAAAATTATTGACTTGATAAGAAAAAAAGGCAACTACGAAAATAATACATATGAAAACGATATCATTCCAGTTCGACGGGCACAAGAAGGTAAAAATCCGAGATTAATACCGTGTCCCAGATGCAGGGGTTATTATTCCAAATGTTCTCTCAGGAAACATTTCCCTAACTGTCAACAAGAGGGATACAAACAGAAAAACAATAGACTTGGTATAATCTTAGGTCGCAGAATTAACAACGATATACACTGTACGGCGTCGAAGACACTAACCGCGATAATGAGTCGCTTAAGAATGGACAGTGTATACGACGTGATCCGAAAGGATCCTTTAATTATATCATTCGGCAATAAACTGTGTAAAAAATGAAAAGCTCCTCACCACGCCAAAGAAATACGCGCTAATCTGAGACAACTTGGGCGCTTTTTAAATGTTGTAAAGAATTTAAATCGTGAGATTTCAGAATTTATTGAGATATATAACCCCATCAACTTTGAAATTTGTCTGCAAGCTGCGGAATCAATTTCAAAAATTTCAAAAAACGATGGGAATTATCAGTGTCCGACCGTAGCCTTATCAATGGGCACATTACTGAAAAAAGTCGGAAAGCATGCCAAAACGTACTTAATTAAAAACAAACTCGACAAGAAAATCCAAGCATGGAAAAAGTTTATGCATGTTCTAAACGAAGAATATGGAACACATATTAACAAAACTGCTATCGAAAATTTGTCGCAACTTCACAGAAGTAAACCAGTACAGCTACCAACTGCAAATGACATATCAAAATTTTACGCTTTTCTCTGTGATAAGAGAAATTTTTATGCCAAGCTACTGCAGAAGGAGTTTTCTTCTAAAGCATGGAAGGAACTGTGTTCATATACTTTAACATGCATTCAGGTTTTTAATAGGCGAAGACCTGGAGAGAGTCAACGGATGTTAGTAAGTGACCTTAAAAATATTAGAAAAGCTGACTATGCGGGAGACCAGATGCTCTTTAACTCACTTGACATTAGAGAACAAGAAGCTGTAAAAGAATTCAGTTTAATATTTCTCAGAGGGAAATTAAATAGATCTGTAAGCATGCTGGTAGACCATACAACTTTAGAGTGTTTAAATTTGATTATGAAACACAGAGAGCAAGCTGGAGTTTTAAAAGAAAATCCTTATATTTTTGGACTGCCTGGGGAGGACCAGCAGGAATTCAGGCATTTGGATGCATGTACACTTATGCGAAACTATTCTAGTTCTTGCGGTTTATCACATCCAGAAACAATAAGAGCTACCCTGTTAAGAAAGCACATTGCCACTTATTGTGCCGCAATGGGATATACAGATGAACAAATATCAGATGTGGCAAACCATTTGGGACATGAAGAAAAAATCCACAAGAACTACTATCGGTAAGTACCTTTGTAATTTTGCTTTATAACTAATGGGTCACACGCTAAAAAATAATACAACAGGATGCCAGTGGTGACAAAGGAAATAACTCGCATGTCAAAACTGTTGAACAACGCATTGATAGGTAGTGGAGAAACAAACAAATCACCATCTGTTCTTTCAGAGTCAGGTATGGAAAATGTAATTTTCTTAGATAAAAATACAATATGTGGTTCTTATTTTTTCTAGACACTCATTTTGACAATGAAAGAGCATCACTAGCTGTTCTTTCGGAGTTAGGTAAGATGTAATCTTCTACATAAAAACAAACATTGTACATACTTATCTTTTTCCAGACACATATATTGACAATGAAAATTGTAGTGTTTCCAGTTATAACTATAACGCCAGTGAAATCCTATTTGATAATGAAGGTAAGTCTTCAAATGAAATCAAATTGTTAATGAATTAAATTCTTACTTGTGGAAAAGTAGTTGTTGTAGAACAGTATTCAGAGAGCAATTTCGTGGAAAGTTCAGCACAGCTACTTACGGGTGATGCAGGTTTTTTTTTGTCAATTTCCTTACGTATACGTATGTGTAATGCATATCACAATTTTTTTTAGACACTCTGTTCGAAAATCACGTAGTTTCTGATAGTCATGTGGAATGTAACGAGAACAAAAATGGTGCATCTGACACAGGGATAGATCATATTACCAGAAATGAAGGACAATATTTGGAAACTGTAATTTCACAGGAAAGCGTATCATTTTCAAATCATTCTTTACAGTCAAACACCAGCGATACACATGAACGTAACTTTAATATTACATTTTCATAGAAACTCTTTATTACCTTTTTTTTTACGTTCTAGAAGATACGGAAGTAAATGATATTCTTAAAAAACCTTTCACATTTACAGAAAAATATTTTAACGAAGGTAAAAGTTTCGAATGTATCCCCGTCTATTCATTCACTTGTATGTTTCTTTCTCTGTTAGGCAAAGAACTGAAAGTGGTATTGGTACCATTGGAATTAAAAACAAAGGAGACAAGTTTTCTCAAAGAGAGGAGTAGATATAAGTTGTCCTCATCCTCGGAGTCTGACTACGATCATGAGTCAGACATGTCTGAACATTCTGAGCATGAAGTTGAAACTGAAAAAGCAACAAAAGGTATATTGTTAACTATTTGAAATATTGACCAACAATTTAAATTTTGAATGATATCAAAGAAAATTTACGATCTAGTATGTGTTGCTCATACACTTTAAAAATGCTGTAAATTATTGTTGTGACTTTTGATTAAAGGTTTATCGAAAAAGCGAATCAGACACACATGGACGACGCCAGAAAAAGTAACTGTTAGAACTGTTTTCAGAAATTATTTCAAAAAAGAAAGTATGCCCAGTCTTAAAGAATGTCAGAAAGCAGTAAATCTGTACCCTAATTTAAAACACAGAACAGCACAGCAAGTCCGAGCGTGGATCAAATGGAATCAATCACAAAGCAGAATTTCAATCGAGCTTGAAAAAGAAGGTAAGGCTTTTTACGTTTTAGTAACGAAAATTTGCCAAAAGACTTAAAAACGCAGCTGCTATTTTACGTCTTAAATTTCAAATAGAAATTATAAGAACACATTTCACACTAATTTGAATAAAATTTACTTCGAGTTTTTTTAGAACTGGAAGACAATCCTGGAAAAATTACCAGGAAAGCCTGGACTACGCCAGAAAAATGTATCGTAAGAAAACTTTTTGGGAAATTCATTGATCAGTTAACTTTACCTACATTTAAATCGTGCCAAAAAGCTGTGCGTGAATATCCAGAACTTCAAAATAGAACGGACAAAGTGCTGTATGCATACGTAAATAATCAAATTAAAAAAAAACAGCGAAACGTGACTTATGGACATTTTTCGCCTCAGAAAGGTAACCGTACCAAGTATTATCATAACTGCGCGTTAAAAGTTAGGGATATTTTGATTAATTTAATTTAAGCCTACGTAATTATATGGAAAAGTATAAAATAAATAATATCGATATCCCTAACTTTGACGCGCAGTTCAGTATTACATTTCTACAGAAAAATTAACTTCTTTTGCTGTTCCTGTTTGTTTTTTTGTCGAAGTTACTTAATACAAGGCTTTCTGCTAATGCTGTGGTATATATTGTTCTAAAATTTAGCATCCAATTCTTATTTATGATAACCTAATTTAACAATATCTTTTTGCTCGTTTTATACAAAATATCGGTTTGTGCTATTTTAAAAAACGTCATTTTAAACAAATTTATGTGCAAAACTGTGCTTTTTTTGATTTTAGAAAAATTACGATCACCATTTAAAACCATTGTTCTAAAACATTTTGGCCAATACATTTCTTCTCTAACAACCCCAACAGTGGTTGCAGCAATGGAGATAATGGAGCAGCATTCAAAGTTAAGGTACATGAATGTTGAATCCGTTATAAACACAGTGGAACACGAAATAAGAAGAAGAAAATTCACGCACATAAAAAGAAAACTTGTCCTCAGTTAATCTCATAGGTCTCAGTATGTCTTCTACAATGGTTTCTCTTCTTTTACATTTTTTTACATCACACTAATTAGAGAAAGCGTCATCAAAGATTTAGGTATCTTTTTGGATTGTAAGTTAACGTTTGTCTATCATATTAATCATATAATAGAAAGAGCATTTTTACTATTAGGCTTTACAATAAGACAAGGCAAGTCGTTTAACAATATTTCAACAATTAAGGTTTTGTTTAATTCTTATGTTGTTGCATGTTTACAATATGGATGTATTATATGGCATGAAATTTATTTCATTTATATAAGTGCTATTGAAGCAGTTCAGAGAAGATTTCTCAAATTTTGTTGGTTCAAAAAACATGTCTCCGCAGCGTGGTATTGATAATTCCATTTTGTTAGCTGAATTTGGAATGTTATCTTTGGATATTAGAAGACAGATCGCCATTATAACGTTGTTTCATAAAATCGTTCATTTTAAGATTGATTGTGCTGAGCTACTGGCAAAGATTTCATTTCATGTTCGACGGCTATGTTGTAGAGATGCATTGTCTTTATACTCTCCTGCAGCTCATACAAATATATTACTGAGTTCCCCAATTAATTTAATCTGTATGTTGTATAATAATAAGTTTAAAGAATTGAATGTCTTTTATCTTAATGAAATCAATTTTAGGAAATTAGCGACGAAAATGTTAAATTAAAATCTCTAGTTTTTTTTTGTGTTAAGTAGGTACATTACATTATTATTTACTTGTTTTTTTGTTTTCAATTAATATTTAAAACATCGGTTCGATCTTGTTTCTTTTGCTTATTTTATAATTATTAATATTGCTCTGTAATTGGTTCTAGGAACTGTAGGTCAATAAAGGTTATTAATATTATAATCCAGAGAACTTCAGATTATGAGTTTTTCAGGTTTACATAAGAATACTTGTTTAAAAATTAAATAACATCTCTTATTGTAATGGTTTACTGTTTAAAATGAAATTATAATTTGTAACATACTAGTATGTAAGTTTCAAATGCTTATATTGTTATAGAAGTATCCTTTTGTTAAAAAATCAATATAAATATTTTCTAAAATTCTTGAACTTTTTACTATTTCCCAAAATTTTAATGTTAATATGATAATGGTTAATAGTATATTAAACAAAAAAAAACTGTGCATGTCTGGAAAACACGATGTATGTGTGTATAGTGATACAGTCGCCCTTTAGCATGTAATAAAAATTAAGAAAATTCTGTAAAACTCGGTATCTCTCCGAAACGAAATTTATTTGTCTAAAATTATTTGTGGCTTTAAAAAAAAACGATTTTTTTGGATCTCACCCTTCAGCCTGG